TTGGTCCTCTTCCAGAACAAAGGACTACAACCAACCAAGCGTATTGTCAAAACATTTGGGAGACACTTTCCCAGAGCAAAGGCCCAGCAAACAGGCTGTGCCCTGAGCTCGGCATAACAACAATCCTTTGCACTCTGGATGATCTCACCCTCTGGCAAAGTGAACTGCACCAGGTGTTCACTCCCTCTATTTCCCAGGAACCTGACAACCAACATCCATCACGTCTCTGACACGCTCACAATCCCTGTTCCTTATACTGTACTCCAGTTCTCATCACAGAACTTCTGTACCCCACAGAGTAATTACAACCCCCAAGGCTTGGGGGGACAATACTATTCCCACTAAGAATGACCTAAAAATGATTACGTCATAGTCCAGCCCAATATATATATATATATAATATATATATATATATTATATATGTATATATACGTATATATACATAAGCAGTGCCTATACCTCCAACATGTTGAAGCCCTCCTACTCAGGAGCCCTTCCACTTGCGTCTTCCTTACTCTGAAACCAATTAAACCACTACCTGATTCCTGACACACCCGCCTCTGGTCTGCTCTGTTTAACAGTTATTCCCAGATTAGAGACCGTTCCAGTCTGGACCGCATTCAAAATTCTGTTGACAATACATACATACTCATACCCACACACATACACACTTCCCTTTACCCTTTGAATATAAACTCCTTGAACATAGGGATTATTTCATTGTTTTTGTATCCACAATACCTGGGACATAGGTGATGAGGAAATATTTGATGGATTCCCTCTCACAGAAGCCCATTCTATTTTGGGACACCCCTAATTGTTAGGGGATTTAAATTAGATTCAGCCAAAAGGTGCCCCCCTGCAACTGCTCCTGGTACTGCTCTCCAGTTCAGAGCCAAGCAAAGTTAAGTCAGATCTCCCCTACATGTGACAGTCCTTCAAATTACTGAAGAGAGCTAGTATATCCCCATTTGGCCTTCCACCCCCCACTACACTCTGACTAGGGCAGAGTATGGCCAGACTCTCCACTTTGCTCCCATTGTACTTTTTTTTAGTGACAAGAAGGAACCTATCAGCCTTTTGGGCGGCCCCATCACACCCTGAATACATACTGAGCCCATGGGCTCCTTCACATCAACTACTGCCAACCCATTTCTCAGTCATCCTATTCTTTTCACATTGATCTTTCACTACAAGCATCAGACTACATACACTCCCTGAATTTTGTAGGGAGACAAGTAAGGTTTTGGCAGGCTAAAAGGCAGCACAAGTCAGGAAATGCATAATAAAGGTAGGAATACGGAAACAGAGACTGAGGACCTTACAGGTTTGTCACTCTTCCTTAGGTTTATTGGCATGTCAATAAGTAAGGGAGGGTGGGAGGTGCATTATGGGAGCAAGGGGGAGCCATTTTAATCCAGTTTCAACCAAGCTTCTATGGGGTTTGGATGGGTGGAGTTCCACAAATGGCTTTTAGGGACATAAACTTCGGGAATTTTCCAGCTCCAAGCCATATAGTAATCTTGGGGCAGGGACCTGAAGTATACAAGAGAAAAGAGTCAAAAGAATAGATCGCCTTTTAGCAGATCGCATCTGCCAGCTTAGCTGGACATGAAGGGTCAGGCTTTAATCTTCCCTTCCCTGGTAGGTAGAGGTCCCTATCTGCCCTACTCCAGCAGGTGGATAGAGCAGTGGAGACATCACATCCAGCAGAGATTACAGGGTGCAATCAGGACACCTGATACCCAGCATTGATAACAGACGCCCAAAAGAGACCAGAGTGATGATGCTTCAGAGCTGCTAACGTTCTCTACTGGTCTTTTCATGTTGCCGCCTGCTACTCTCTGCTGGGGAATGGGCCATTTCAGTTAGGCATGGGGTCACTTTGGCTGGGAATTGTGTCTCAGCTCTCTACAGGGTATGTCCACTGGCCTCATCATCTCTGAATTGCTCTTTGCTGCCATCTTCTGAGCTGTAGTAGCCAGTAGGCCTCTCCTTTGCAAGGAGGTACCAGTTCAAATAAATGGATGCAACCTTCAGGAAGTCGATCTCAACTCCCCAAGGGCATCTTACTGTGGAGGGAGCAGGTGAAGATAAAGCTAGACCATGAAGAATACATGGTATGGGGAGGCAGCTAGGTGTCGAAGTGAATAGAGCTCCAGCCTTGGAGTCAGGAGGACCTAAGTTCAAATCCAGCTTCAGACACTTGACACTAACTGTGTGACCCAGGGTAAGTCACTTAACCCTGATTGCCTCACCAAAAAAATAAATAAAATACACGGTATCACACAAGTGACTGTTACTTCCCTCTATGAGATGACAGATTAAAAAAATAAAAAGTTAATGATATATACTAGGCTAGTAAACAAAAAAAGGCATAATGTTCAGAGCCAAGAAGGATATAGTTCCATTGGTTGGATCACCCCTATATCCTTATATCCCATAAATTTAACCCCTTGGAGTCTGGATGGAGCACACAGACATAAGGGGAAACTCTCTACCCTGAAAGTTCTCCAGCAGAGGCTGGGTCCCCAGGGGGTCACTCTTATTAGCAAGTTCAATGATTCAATGGCCTGAGGTCCCTTCAACAGCAGAAATTCAATGATTTTTCTCCAGCTGCAATTTCCAGTCAAGTCGCATAGAGAAAAAAGGTTCCTTGACAAATAGATGGTCACTCACAAAAGAAAAAACATGTAGAATGTGGCTACCTACCTAGACAGCAACTATCTGTCACTGGGAAAATGGCTCAACCCATGCTAATCATCCCCGGGATCATAGATGTAACCTCAGAGCCATTCTTGTCCCTCAATCAATGAATCTGCAAACATGTATTAAAAGCCTACTATGTGTCAGGCACACACCCCACCCCCAGCTAACATTCTTCTAGGTTCTTATTGTTGTTATTCACACATTTCAAATCATGTCCAACTCCTCACCACCCCATTTGGAGTTTTCTTGGCAAAGACACTGGAGTGGTGCACCATTTTCTTCTCCAACGCACTTCACAGATGAGAAAACTGAGGCAAACTGTGTTAAGGGACTTGCCCTGGGTTACACAGCTACCAAGTGTCTGGGGTCACATCTGAACCCAGGTCCTCTTTACTCCAAGCCCAGCTCTACCCGTTGCACCATCTACTGCCCCTTTTTCTAGGTTAGGAGGACACAACATGCTCAGTTAAAAAGAAGGACCTTACAGACAAAACGAAGACAGTGATTTGGGGCAGGGAATGTTCCCTTTGGTTTCCGATCCCTTCCTGGCACTTAGTGATTGTTTAATAAACACATACCGACTGCCTAACTTCACAAAGAGGATCAGAGCAAACTGGTAAAACCTGAGGTCCAGAGCTCTCAGGCGAGGGCAAGTTCCAAGTGCCCTGAGAGGCTGGCTTGTGTACCCACTGCCAAGTACTTTAGTAAGGAGTGACATCACACAAAGAGGAAGGGCAAGCCATTGCCATTCTGCCCTCGATGGCACCAGCTGTAAAATCAGAGAGCTGGATTAGATGCCCCGAAGGCCCCTTTCAGCTCTAAATCCTTTCGTATCCAGCTCTCCATAAATAGAAGCAGAGAATAAGGCTTGTAGTTTTCTCTAATTATTTCACATTGGATTGAGCTGACATTGAGAAACACAGTTGGAGGTGGGGGGGAAGGGCGGTGGTCCCTGCCCTCAGGAGTATACCTAGTGTGTTTAGGAATTTACCTAGTTTATTCTAGTGCGCTGCCTTAGAAGTCTTTCCCAACTCTGAACTGCCCAAGGGCAGACTTATTTCCAGCAGGATGCTAAGCCCACACTATATACAGGTCCAGAGACGTGATAGATTAGCTACCCAGGACCCCAAATTTGCCCCCCTCAGGGCCAGTCAGCATTCCCTCGGTCCCTTTGTGACATCCATTTACGCACAGCCCTGGCGTCAGGCTGAGGATGGATGCCTCACAAAGGCGAAAGGGCAATGCCCCGAGGTGCCCAGGAAGGAACGCCTCCTTCAAGCACACTGACCGCAGGTTTCCACCTCGGCCTCTCCTCCCCTTCCCCTGGGGGGCGATCCCTCCTTAGTCCTCCCCCCTGTCCTCCCTCTCCCCACCCCCCTTCCTGCTCAAAGGCCTTTTTCCCTTCCCAACCTCAAGGTCTCATGAGCCTTCCCCCGGCTCCAGCCTAACCATCTCTCCTCTTCTCCCTCAGCCTAAAGGTCCCAAGAGCTCCCCACCCCACCGTGAAAGTCTCCTCCTTCCTTTCCCCTAAACTTCGCTCCCCAGCTTCCATCTCACACCACCCCCGTACCCTCTGTACGTAAAAGCTCATCTTCTAGCCCCTCCTCTAAGTCCCCAACCCCACTCCCCTTACCCCAGACCTCTCTGCCTCCACCCAAACCTGAAGGTCTCGGAAGGTCTCCTTCTTCCTCCAGCTCCCCCCAGTCTAGGGGTCCCTCCCCTTCACTCCTTTCCATCCTCTAGCCCATCCAAAAGTTCTCAATTTGGACCCTCTTAAGGTCCCGCCCCCCCTGGCCTCCCGCCCCCCCCCCCCCCCCCCCCCCCCCCCCACCGGCTCCGCCCCCCCCCCCCCCACCGGCCCCCTGCGCCCCCCCCGCCCCCCCAGAACGGTCGCACGTTCTCCCACTCCCCCGCACTACCGCGCCCCCTCCCACCCTCTCCCCGACACCTGGGCCCCCGCCCCCTCGGGTCCCCGCTGGGGACGCCCGCCCCCTTCCCCTTTGCTTCCTCCCCCCGCCCCGCTCCCCTTTGGACCGGCGCTGCCCCCGCCCCTCCCGCTCCGCCTCCCAGTCGGCCGCGCCCTGGCCCCGCCCCCAGCCCTACAACCACCGCAGGGCCCCGCCCCCGCGGTTCCTCCCCCCGCCCTGGCCCCGCCCCCAGGCCGCGGCCCTCGCTGATCCCCTCGCCCTCTCACGCCCTCTGCCGGCGGCTGCCCTCAAGAGGGAGCCTGACCCCCGAGGGGCCGCCCAGGAAAGGAGGCGGGACATCCGCCGTCCTTTCCGGAAGTGACGCGAGAGTGTCAACATGCAAGATGGCGGCGCATCACAGGCAGAACACGGCGGGGCGGCGGAAAGTGCAGGTGAGGGGTGCCGGGGGCGGAGCGCGGGGGCCTCCAGGGGCCGCCCCACCCCAGCCCGGGCGCCTCCCGAGCCCCGCGGGCCGGGCCCCACCGACCCAGCGCCGAGACCGCCGCGGGGGACGGAAGGTGGGGGGAGGCGGGAGCGGAATCAGGCCGGCCTGGGCCCAGCGGCCCTGGCGCGCCCGCAGGGGGTCTGAAGGGTCTGGGGGGGGATCCGAGCGGCCGAGGCCTGAGGCCCCCCTCCTGTCCGTCCTCCAGCCCGTTGGGCTGCGGGGCCGCGGCCGCCCGTGACCGTGGTCGTGGCTCGCGCCCGCAGCCTCAGACCCGGGGGCGCCCCGGAGGTCACCGACCCCGGCCTGGAGGAGGCGACGAGAGCCGGTCACTTCCGCTTCCCCGGGGGCTGCTCGCGCAAACGGCCCCGCCCGTGGGGCCGGGGTGGGGGGCCACTGTCACCCCCGAGGATCCCCCCCCCCCCGTGAGCGGGGCGACCGTCCGCGTGTGGGCCCCTCCCCCGGCCGGGCCGCGCCCCTCAGCGACCCCCCCGCTGTCCCGGAGGCCGCCTGGTCCTGCCCGGCGTCCCCGGCTCGGTGTGTGGCTGGGTCTCCCCGTGCTCGTGCCCAGCGGGCGGCGTTCTCTCAGATCTTGGGGGTAACGGGGAGGACCTGGAGGTGCACCTGGTCCCCTTTGTTGTGCCAGTGCCCGCAGATGGCTTGTGTTCCCTCTGCTAAGACCCGGAGCCAAAGAAGCTTTAGCCTGGGACACAGGCTGCAACTTTTACTCGTGAACAGATTTCCTGTTTTCATTGGGGGATGTGGCCTTTGGACAATTCATGCAAACCGTTGGGGGGGGGGCATCCCCTTTGCTTTTTTGGTTTTTTTGTAAGCTTCTCTTCTCATAGGAAGTAGTTCCAGCTTGAGTCTCGCTTAATCTCAGTAAGTCCATGAAATATGGAAATGTGTTTTAATTTCTAAAGTTAGGTGACATATCACACCGAGGCATTAGGCTTCTCCAGCCCACTTGCCATGTGTGCCTCGGGGTGGCTGGTGATCTTACCTCGCACCCCGTTCTCTGCTTTATTGTAACAGCCATTGAGAGCCAAGGCAGGGCACTGAAGGCATCATTCCACCTGTACGCCGTCCTCGCTGCAACCAACCCAGTCAGCCATCCCTACTTCCTCTTCATAGAGTTAGTTCTTTCTGTCAGGAATGCCTCTGGCTCCATGGGGTCAGGCAGGGTGGGTTATTTTGGCATCCCTCGCGATATAGGCATCGTAGTGTTTAACGGACAAGGATCCCTGATTAAAAAAGAAACTCTTAGTGAAATAGCAGAACAACAGGTGAACACATGTTCTTCCCGAATGCTGAACATCAGCCCTACCGGGGCTGTAACTTGGACAGTAACTTGGTTTACCTAATGTATCGCATCTTGGCATGTTTGAAGTGGGCTGGGATCACTCTCTCACAGCAGAAATCGGGAACTCAGCTAACATATCACCCTGCAGATAAATCCTTGGGGCTATTTCTCTTAAGAGTCTCAGGTAACGCCTGAGAGAAGCTCAGGTCAGTGGTTATTTAACAAGAGAAGTAAAAGAACTCTTTCTTAAAAGATAGGATTCATCTAAGTTTATCTTTAGACACAGGTACCATTATAATGGAGGGGAGTTTTTCCTCTAGTTGTGATATTATATTAAACTTCTGTGACATCTCATTAACTCTAAATATGTCTGCACATATGCCTGCTTTTGGAATCCAATAGCATTTTGCTAAAAATGTAAGTATGTGCTAGCTTTGTTTAGTATAATTAATATGGAGGCTATTTTAGGTTGAGAATATGTGTATGTAGCTACTATTGATGCTTGGCAAAAAATCATAACTTTGGACAAAATTTAATGTACAAAAAAAGGTTATCACCATTATTCTTGACTTATATTATTTTTTTTTTACCTCAAAAGCATTCAGTAAAACAAAACTTTTATGGGGCGTTAATTAAACAGTCATTTTGGGAGTGGTAGGAAACAGTGAGTGTCATATGGGATGTGGGGGAGAAAAAATGATGTTAGTTACTTTTCATTGAGAATGTTTTGGTCTAGTTGATGCCTGTACCAAGAAGGTTCCATTTAGTCACTAGTTGATTTGCTAGCAGGCCTCTTACTGGGTTTTCATTTTTTTTTTTTAACATTCTGTTATCTAGTCTTGTTTGTTGTCTCTATGGGTCTTGGAAGTGCCACAGCTGGCTTGCTTTAAAAAAATTCTATTTCTAACCAATTGAAATCAAGGTGCTAGATATATTGCAGGCACCCACTAACAGAGTTTGGTATCTCATGTTCACTGGAAACAATACCTTATCCTGTTACCAAATGGGTTTTGTCTCAGGAGAGAATTAATCATCACTAAAATGACTGAACATAGTATTTATTAAGCACCAACTGTGTGTCAGGCCCTAGGGATACAAAGACAAAAAAGAAGCAATCTTTGTCCTCAAGGACCTTATGGATAAATATATGCAAAATAATGGGGGCGGGGTCACGTAGAAGAGTGGTGTCAAACTCAAGTAGAGACAACCCCCCACAGGTCGGCACATAAGGATGTAGGCTGCAGATTGACTTTGTTTTAAAATATATTATCGTTTTATTGCGTTTTTCTTTATTTTGCTCAATATTTTCCAATTACATTTTAATCTGGTTTGAGCCATGCTCAGGTGTCTTATAGGCCACATGTACCCTGCAACCTTTGGGCCCGGCGTTTGGCAACTCTGATGTAGAAAGATCTTCAGACAAGGTTTGAAGGAAGCTAGGGATGCCAGGAATCCACATAGGTAGGGGGGGCACCCTTCAGGGATGGGGAGTAGACAGCAAAGAGACAGAAGACAGCATCCTGTGCAAATTACAGACAGAAAGCCTCTGTAGATGGCTGCAGAGCTCGAGAAAGAGAAGAGGAGGGGGGCAGCTAGGTGGCGCAGTAGATAGAGCACCAGCCCTGAAGTCAGGAGGACCTGAGTTCAAATGCAGCCTCAGACCAAACACTTGACACTTACTAGCTGTGTGACCCTGGGCAAGTCACTTAACCCCAATTGCCCAAAAAAAAACAAAAAAAGAGAGAGAGAGAGAAGAGGAGGGTCCAGAACAGTCTTGGGATACAGCCAGGAGCAAGGACTATAGATCATTCAGGGTGGCTGGAGAGCCAGCCTCTAAGCCAGGAAGATGTGACCCAAGACTAGGCAGCACTCTGGGCAGCTCTGTGACTATGTTTCAGAGAAGGTTCTGACTTAGAAGAAATTTCCCGTCTTGGAGTTCACTATACCGTTGAAATCATTGGGTCTGTGTGTGACCAGGCAGAAGTAGATCCCACTGAGTAATGGCTCGGTCCTTATGAGCCAGGTCTGGAGTTGCCTGAAAGAGCATCTACAAATCATCTTTAGTTGGGCGAGTTAATTGAATGAAAGAGCATTTATTAAATACTTACTAGTTGCTAATGTCTGTGCTAAGTTCTGGGGACATTGGTAGAAAAAACAAAGACAGTCCCTCACCTCAGGGAATTTATGTTCTAACTGCAAGACCCCACATGAGGGAGTGATGGCCAGGGAGGGACACTGTGGTACAGAATGTTACAGGGATGGTGAATAGGAACGTAGAGCAGTAGATTGACACACTCCATCCAGAAATGATGATCGGGTTGCTTTGTTCATGGTTCTAGAGCTGGTGGAAAGAGGAAAGGAGGTTTGAAGTTCTGGAGACTCTTAACAGTTGGCCGGCAGCAGCTCACACGCAAACCTGTGGTTACCTCAATAAGAAAGCAAATCCATAAGAGAGCACTTACTGTGTAGGTCTCCAGCTAGGCCCTGCCTCCAAAAGTATCATGCTTTTACAGGAAAAAGCTGTATTGTCATCCAGATCATCTGAAAAATACCAGATGAAAGGCCTAACTCAGGTTTTATACCAGCCAGATTTAGGGGAAGGATGCTTCCTGGAGCTGGAGCAATGTCGTGTTCCTTGTATTGACCTTAAGTCAATTACTTCCTTTCTCTGGGTCTCTAAAGAGTGAATTCCCATCAGGTATTATTATTATTAGTTGGGGGGAGTGAAGGGGGCTTGAGGCACTGAGGATTGAGTGACTTGTCCAGGGTCTCATAGCTAGTAAGTATTTGAGGTCCTCCTGAATCCAGGACTGGTGCTGTCTCCACTGTGCCACCCAGCTGCCCCCTTCACAGCAATCCTTAGGTGTAGATCATGTAAATTTTCATTTTCTAGATGAATGAAATAAAGGTGAGATGAGAGGACTTGTTCAAGGTCATGCAAATGTAAGTTACATAGCCAGAATTTGAACCCATACCTGCATGGCCACTGTCATCTCCCATCTCCCCCACAGTATTCCTGTTAGATCCTAGAACCTCCAAACCTTAGAGCTCGGAGGGATCTCAGGGGCTCTTCGATCCAACCTGGACCTCCACTAGACTCCTTTCTATGATACATCTGAGAAGTGACCATCGAACCTTTACCTTAAGATCTTCATTGAGATTTGTGTCTTAGGTGAACACTACATCAAATTTTTAATTTAATTTTTATAATGAAATAATCTTTCTTGAGGTATATGACCATCCTCAAAATATTCCTGCTAACCACTGCTGTCCTTGTTGAGATGGCTAGGCCTGAAGTACAGCAAGTATAAAGCTGAAAAAAAAGTTCTTTAGGTGGGGCAATGGCCAGCTTCCCTCCCACCCCAGGGGCAGCTGTCCCTCCAATGAAGGGCCTGGCGTGTTGTTCAAGTTGAGTGGAAATCTGTTTCCCATTAACTTCCAAACATTGATCCAACTGATGTGATTAGAATTTTTCAGAAGTCATCAATACTTGAGAGCTACTAAGTTCATCTTATCAGTAAAACCTTCTTTTTGAAAGACTCCAGGCATCAGGGACTAAATTGAGAACTAGATTATATTTCTGCCTTTCCTCATTTACATTACTTGGGTGTCAGTCTAAATTACATATCACTCTCCACTAAAATGAG